GATAATAGCACCAAAGTTTATCTCTTATTCTATGTAGATGTATGAATCAGATTTTGGCAGTGTAAAAATAATAAAACACGACAAAAAGTGGTATGTAAAGTTCATGGCCACCTCTAACCTTCTGAAGATCAGCAAGCAAATTACTGGCTTTTAATCTCGTCATTTCCCTGTCTATGAGTTTTATTCTCTCCTTCCTAATACATTTCTTTCTAATTGTTATAGATTTTATTGACATAAAAAGCAAGAAATGTGAATCTTTTATCTTCTAACAATTGTTAAGTTAACCATCATGGTTGCATTAAACTATCTTATTGTCAAACTGGTACCTTAGTGTTCCACAGTTCTGAATTCATACATGGTTTGGCTTCCTGGAATACAATTCCTTAATTTATTCTAAAGTATCTATCTGCCTGTCTGTGCTCAATATTGTATGATTTTTCAGATTTCTTGAAAGAAACCTAAGTTTAATAATTGAAACTCTTTTTTTTTTTTCTGGACTGAGGAGATAGCTTATCAGACAAAGGCACTTGTTGCTAAGCCTAATGGATGACTTGAGTTTAATCTTTGTGATCTACATGGTGGAAGGCAAGAACAGACTTCTATAAATTGTCATCTGACCTCTGCATAAATGCCAAAGAATGTGCATGAACAAAAATGCTCCCTCTCTCTCTCTCTCTCTCTCTCTCTCTCTCTCTCTCTCTCTCTAAAATAAATAAAAATAAAAACTGGTTTCTGATATGTTAAAGCAATTACTAGTGCATTAAATTAAAAAAAATCTGTCAAATCCAATCTGTTAATCCATTTGATTCATTGTGTTTCATAAATCACTCAAGTGATAACATGACATCATCAATAGAGGAGAAAGTGGGTGAGAGGTGAGAGTCCAATTAAAGTGAGGGAAGTTAAAATTCCTTGGGGTTACCATCCTCACATCAAAAGAAGAGCAAGCTAAACACACATCAAACAGCCACCTTCCCCTACAAAATTGTGGCAAGCCTGAGTCAGCCAACATACAGAAAGTGATGTGAATCTTCCTGGAAATCTAGTCTGGAGACAAAGAAGGGAAGTGACTTACAGAGTGACGTGTACATGAACTACCCAGCCCTCTGTCAGCTCAGCAGGTGAGGATGAACAATGAGAAAGTACCCCCAGTTTTAGTTTTTGAAAACAATAAGACAGTGATGATGTCATATGCTAAAACTTCATTTTTGGTTGTTATATGTGGGCTTTCTTTCAAGTGTTCCCTAACAAAATTATTCCAGTAGTGACTTGGGGAGATGGGGGTTTTAGAAATGCTGAAGACAAATAATGTGGTACTAAGGACTTGGACGAAAATAACAGTTATATTTTCTGATCTAATTATTCTCTGACCTAATAATAAGGAAGGGCGATTGATTGGCTAGAGCATCATAGCCAATAATTCAACGATTGAATAAGATAATAAAACTATAATGGGGGGTGGTATTCAACAGATGTCATTTTTATTGTAATATAGATCTAACTCAGACTCACAAAGAAAGCATGCTATTCCCCCTAGAAGATTTCTTTCTTTTTGACTCTGTCTGAACTTGAACAGACCATACCTGACAAATAACAGGAATGTAGTGGGAAGAGGGAAGCGAGAGCTGAGAGGACTGTTCCAGAATAAATACCCAGACTTATCCATGGAGGCTAATTTTATCAAATAGAAGAAAAATAAAATCATAAATAATGGAGCAAAAAAAAAAAAAGCCAAGATTGCTACTGTTACATAGAAAGAACATCATGGTTTCTGATCATGTTTGTCAAGGCTCCATTTTCAGTCCAGACTAAAACGAAACACTTTCTGGTTCTACAAAGGAGAAAAACACAGCACTCTGCCCTATCTTAAGGGCTCGATGTGCAGAAGAACAGTGTCCACATGCGGCTGGAGCATGTCCAGGAGGAGCAGGCACTGAAGGCCGTCCTTGATGGGTAAAGGATAAAAGCTGAACAGTGGACCTTTGTGGGTGGAATATTGCGGCGGTCATTCGTACATGATGAAGGACCGTTTTGAAAGAGAAATGAACAATCTAAGTACTGACTAAAAGGCTTGGAACCAAAATAGACAAGCACGGAACAAGAATAATACTGGCTGAGTCTTTCTGCAAGTTTCTCTAGTGGCACCAACCTCTTCAGTAAAGTTCTGCGTTTGGGGAAAGCTGTGTCACGGGGTGGGAGTGGGGTGGGGGATGGGAGGGGGAGTGGAGAGCCAGTTCTGAGCAAGAATGAGATCAAGATGTATCCAAACCCCAAAAATCTTGTCCTGAAACTATCAGGAGTAGGACTTTTTCCCTCCTTGCTCTGGGCCTGCATGTCCTGCAGCAAGTATCCTATACGACCCCACCTCTGCTATCCTTGAGGTAGGAACAGCCTGGTAACAAAATTACATATTTACCTTCCTCTCTCCCTATAAGGACACATCCAGCAAGCACCTGGAATTCCTCTTCACACTAATGAAGCGTTCCCTGCACCTTAGGATCAGCCAATAACGTACACTCATCCTGAAAGCCGCTACTCACTCCCCAAGGTTTATACAGCCCTTGTTACAATAAAAGAGAGCAGTTTCAGTGGAAACCCATCTCAGAGAAGGCTGTTTATCCCCGGACTCACCACTGGCTGAGATCCTAGAACCCACTCACCTGGATCAGCTTTGATCCTTTAAATCAGATCTGGTGCTCATCGGTGACTGGGCACCCAGAGGGCAGAAGCAGACTCTGGCCTGCAGTTCTGTAACATGGCAGGATAGGCTGTGGTATCCCATGTGGGGTTGCTACACAACCAGGAAAACTAGTTCAGATCTTGACATCTACATTTGTAACTCCATCTGTAAAGGGGACAGAGACAAGAGAATGCCTGGGGCTTATTGACTTCCAGCCTACCTGAGAAAATGTCAGAGAAACCTTGTCTCAAAGGAAGGGTAGATAGTAATAAGGGAGTACGCAGATGCCACCTTTTGGCTTCCACATACAGCCTCACATGTGCTTGTCGTGCGCGCGCGCACACAAACACGCATATGCACACGTACACAAAATATTTAAATTAGAGTAATCCCAGACCAAATAAAAACTCCTATGCTTTTCATACTTCCAAGGTCTCAGTTGACACATGTGACCCATTGAATACTGAAGGAAAATTATTGTTGAAAGTTCTGTTGGGTAACTCTGGATGAACATCTTCAGAGCCTGGGATTGAATGTGAACCTGAAAGTCAGTAATAGCAAGGCTTCTATTGTCTCAAGGAATGGGTGTTTACATGGGAGTACCTACTTCCCGGTGAGGTGATACGGAACGAAATTGTCTTTTGAAGAATGAAGGGGGTAGAACCAGGCCTGCGACACAGTGGCACAGTGTGTTGTCAGGAAAGCCTGTATTTGTTGTCAGTATTTCATATGAATATTTATACTGTTGTCAATTCCTGGTAGTTAGAAAGAATTACTCATAGACTTTATTCTTGTGAACTGAGTGTTTTGTTTGTTTTGACGAAGTAGCATTGAAACTCCACGTAGAAACTAGAAAACTAAGAAAAAAAACCAGATTATTTGGCAGATGAGGACTTTGAGCCCCAAAGTCAAATAAGAGATGGAATTTTTTTTTTAAAAAAAAACTTGGCTGATTATTTTTTCATTTAACTAGAATATAATTCCATCATTTCTGTCCTCCATTTCCCCCACCCACCAAGTGCTCCTACTCCCTCCCAAATTTAAGGCCTTTTAAAAATGTGTTTGTTGCTTTATATACATATAAATACAACCTGTTGAGTTGGCTCAGTTTTGATTACTTAGTACTGGATAACCAATCAGGGGGTCTCACTCCTGGGAAAGGCCAATTCTCTCTCTCTCTCTCTCTCTCTCTCTCTCTCTCTCTCTCTCTCTCTCTCTCGTCAGTTGTTAATTCCTTCCAGTTCTTCATCTAGAGATGGGGCCCCATGAGATTTCCCCATCTACAGGTGATGGGATTGCTTAGGTCTTGTTTAGCCAGCCAGGTAGTTGAGATTTCACGGGCACAGCTTCCTTGGCACCATGAGTGACAAACTTACAAATATAGTATAAAACTCTGTGCTATATTATCTTGTTCTGCAAATGAAAAACAATACACATTTCTTTAAGATTTAACTAAACCTAAAGAATGAGTTGAATACATAGTACAAACAGTTGATCACCACAGAGTGATTGATATATACATCTTACCATGCTGTTCACCCCATGCACTGGTATAGCTACTTTACAGGTACTGAATCAAAGCAACCCTCCCAGGTAATTCTATGAGAGCAGTGCTATTATGAGTTCATATTATAAATGGATAAACAAATGCTTAGAGAGGTTCAGTAAATTACTTAGGGTCACACAATTAGTGTGTAGCAATAACGGGATTTTCACTGATATTCCTGATGTCTTTTTTAATGGAATCTATACACACTGTTTTTCAGTAAAAAAAATACAAGCATGCACAGGTAGTTGATCTTTAGGAAGGCTGCTTAACCAGTGCATAAAAGACACTGGCAATTGATGCTCTGAATGCATAAACCCAAAGAACATTACTGAGTAGTTTCTGAGCTACTTAAACAAGGCTATTTCAGTTCTCTGCGTTGCGTGTGCATATCCTGACTCGCCCTTTCCTTAGGGAAAGTAGGGAGCAAAACATACGTAGAAATGAGCCTTTTGTTGCTTCGCCAAATAGGGCCAGGATGGTGGTGATCACAGCCTCCTAGCAGTGGAGGACTTCGCTGCCGGTAAATGAGTGTGCCTTTCAAAGTCAGATGAAAGGGTCCTCTGTGCACACCTGACAGCCCGTTTCAGCATCCAAGGGGGCTCTGTGAGAAAATAGAAAAGCAACGTGTTAACGGAGTCAGATCTAACCGTAGACCGACCCTGTGTTTGAAAATCCTAAAATAATTGTCAATGAAGCCTCCTGAGTCAGAGGATATGACATCCTCATTTGCATGATTCAGAATGGCAGTGACGCCACAGGCAGCCAGTCTACGGGAGGAGTTCCTGAACATGGAAATGCTGAACAATTGAATGGCCACAGGAGTTGGCACCAAATGAATTGTCTTAGATAACTGAAGCCTGTCCCATTGGCCCCCACACAGGAAGCTGGTGGCTATCAGAACTTCACAGTAGGTTATTCCTGTTGCCGCCCTCATGTTTTCTCTGGAGTGTGGGGCTGACAGCAGACAGTTCTGCGAGGTGAATTGAAATTCTAGGCTTCATTTTTAAGAAAACATAACGCTTTTATTTATCTATAGAGATTTTCACATGCGCATACAATGTATTTTGATCATATCCGCCCTTCCATTCATCACCCCCCAACTACTTCAGATTCAAACTCCCCCTCTCATCTCTTCCCAACTTTGTATCCTTTATTTTTTCAAATATTTCCCTGATCCAATTTGTGCTGCTCTCATATGCATGGGTTTTGGGCTATCCACTGGAGTATGGTCAACCTACCATGGGCTACATCCCTGAAGAAAACAGACTTTATTTTCCCTAGCAACCATCAACTGTCAAGAACTTTTCAGCTGGGAGTAGGAGTTCATGAAGCCCACTCATACTTCGTGGTAGACTGTGAACCAGGTTGATCTTCAGGTTTCATGTGGACAACCACAGCTGTGTGACTTCATGAGTACCAGGGTCCTGTTAGGGTCAAAAGACACTGCTATCCAGTCCCCCGGGGTCTCTAGCTGTTTCATCTTTCTGTTTCATCTCCTGTCATGTTCTCTGAGCCTATGGGGAGGGTGTGATACAGATGTTCTGTTTATGACCGAGTTATTCCCTAGATACCTATCCTCCGAGGTTTAGCCAGTTATGAGCTTCTGTGTTAACCATCATCTATTACAAAAAGAAACTTTCTTTAATGAGATCTGAGAGCTGCCCTAATCTGTGGGCAGCAGCTGCTTATTTCAGGGACAGTGTCTAGTCCTTAGAAAACCACATCTGTCTTTCGAAGGTCTCACATAATCGTCATATTGACCACAGTGAATTACATAACTTGGTTAAGGAGGTTAGAGGATAAAGGCCTTCACTGAATCCATGAACTTCATTGAGTGTGGAAGCTGATCATCTACCCTGGGAAGATGATCCAGTGTTTCTATGGCATTCCCAAAAGAGGCATTTGAACTCTAAAAGTTATAACTATGGTCCAGGCAATTATTGTCTAGAGGTGATAGACCTTCATTATATACTATAATTACATAGAATCTTAAAAACTAGGCTCTGATAATGTAGTGACAACATTTTCACTACTGAATATAAAATGCTCTGATCTTCCATCAGTATTTTTTAAATTAAAAAAAATTTTACGTTTTATTTTGATCACATTCTTTCCCTTCCTCTCCAACTTCTTCCAGATCTTTCCTACCTCTCTACCCACGCGGTATGTCAGCCATACTCCAGGACAGGCCCCATGCCCAGGAACAGTCCAATAAGAAATGAATTACATTTTTTCCTGCTCTGGTTTTGGTGTTTTTTGTCTTACTGAGTTAGTCTTTTTTAATACACAGGAATGTGCCCTGCTTCCTATGTACACTCAGCCCCTGTGAGCCCACTGATATAGCAGCTCCCTTGATCAGACTCTATTTCCTAATACCTTGCTGTGATTTGGAAAGTAAACAGACCAAGAGAAGAGCTCTCCATGCTTTGAATGTAAGCCTTTCTGTTGTAGTAGGATTTAAAAATTGCAACTGTGGATTGTTATTTGTAAGGGACATTATTCAAAGATGAAGTAATTCTTGAGCATCCTAGCTCCTGAATGGAGCTTTATTGATGGTTGAAAGGGGCACTCCTATCCTCTAAAGAAACTCATCTGAAAGCTGCCAGCACACAGAGTCACACAAGCTCCTTCTCAAGCCACTAGGAGCAAAACTCCTTACACAGTGACGCCACTCTCCATAGCCCCATCCAAAGTGTAAATATGTCATATTTGGGAATCAGATGATACCGTTGCCAAAATGCAGTGGATTACTAAACATGGGTCAAAGTGGCAGCCATGCCAAGAGGCGTCTGAATAGGAAGAAATGAGTACTCTGGCTACATTTCCTTTTGTGGTGTGCTGACAATTGAAATCAAGTATCTTCATTAAGAGAAAACCTGTGAGGCTACATCCACAGCCCGCCCAGTTTCCCTGTGAGCACCACTGCTCCTTCCTCTCCTGATTCATCAAGTAGACATCTGCTGCCAAAGCATCAGTATTCTGGCTCTCTGTTAGCTACTGTCATTGGGAAAGCCCAAATGCACATACGATACTAGAAGAATCAGAAGCAGGTATTCTGACATTTTTCTAAATATAACTTTCTTCCTTGTAAGCCAATGCTACAAGAACAAATTTGTTCACTTTCCATTGTGTCATGAGGACAGTAGAAAAGAATTGGTAACTCTGACATAACAGAGAATGAAAACATGTTCTGCTTTGGTTTTGCCCAGCCCCAAACAGCTTTTTGTGGAACACGGGCCATCTTGGAGAAGAGTTTGCAAAAAACCAGAAAAGTATTGTTATTGAGAAGGGTTACCTAATTTACTTCTGCTTAAAAGAAGTTACTTAACTGAAGCTTAGATTGAAAAAAATCTTGTAATTTTAAACAGGTTGGCAGGATCTGCTCTGTGTATCCCAGGGTGACCTCGAACACATGGCCAACCTCTAGCTTCAGCCTCCCAAGTGCTAGGTCACCATATTCAGTAGGAGAAAGCCCACTTCTCTCTTTTTTTTTTAAATTAAATTATTTTATTTATTTACATTCCAAATATTGTGCAACTTCCTAGTCCCCCTCCCAGAGTTCTTCACCCTTACCCTTTGCCTCTGAGAGGGTGCTCCCCCACTTACCCACTCACCCCCCTCATCAACCCATCTCCACTATCCCCCTCCCCTGGGGCATCAAGTCTCTACAGGATTAGGTGCATCCTCTCCCACTGAGGAGAAAGTGCACTATTAACTACAGTTTATTGATACAAATAAAAAAAGGGGACTCAATCAGGGTCCTGTTTAGTTCATCTTACATTGCTGAACTCATTAGCAATTCAGATTCTTTGATCCCATTTTAGATATAATCTGTATTGTAAGAAGACTCTCTGGGGATTTGTACAGCTTTATATCATGTTTGAGAAGCTCTGGATTCTATTGAGAAGCCTTGGTACTATTTTCCAAGATTAGTTAACTAACCTGGTCACCAAGCTTGAGGCTCTTAAGAAGCATAGACTCCTCATGTGTCTTCTTCAGCCCACCTTCTACCTTTATAAATGTTCTACTTAGCTGTAGTGAAAGACACTCACTGACTTGATATATTTGTTCCTCCAATACTAAAAGTATAATGTAAATAAGGTAAACCAACAATCTTATGGGGAAGAGATTGGTACTATCTGCTTTGTTTTTTCTTTCAAAGGCAGTCAAGCAACTGTAATTAAACCTTGCAAAACCAAGCCATGCTCTACTTTCTTTACAAATGTCTCTAAGCCTTTACCTCGCAGGTGTAAAATATATAAGATGGCTTCTCTGTCTAATCAGAAGACCTATGTGAGAAAAGAAACCTACACCCCACATTCAGTTTGCGTCAAATTGATATGGATGCAGGTTTCGGTTTTGTAAAACGACGTGCATATGCTGTTCTTTTTCTCTCTGGTCCTCTTACTTGATGGAATTTTTGTGCTGAACACATTGAATGCCAGATATAAATTTTTTATGGTTTTTTACTACATATATTCCTGGATTTCTTCCCAGACCACTGAATTCGGGTGGGGCCTGGAATATGTATTTTAAAAGCCACCTGGCAGTCAGCAAGGCTTGGAAATTACTGAACTAGTGGGATTCTGAGGTACCAACCAGCATTATAAGAGTAAGAGAAATCTAGCAGGTTTAGGTACTTTAACTAAATGACTAGCTTTGTATTTATCTAAAATAACTAAATTGTTAATTGAGAAAGATTAACTTTTCACTTCAACTTACTGACACATTTGCTAAAGAATTTCCAGAACACACACACACACACACACACACACACACACACACACACACACCATTCAGCTGGTTCCACAGATAATCTTTTGGAAATGATTTATATTTCCTGGAATGGTATTTTTTTTAAAAAATTTTCCCTAGGTTTGAACCAGCTACTCCCCCTGAAAAGTCAGTCTATAGTCAGGAAGATAGAGAGATTAGATTGTGATAAATATTACCCTGAATCAGTTCTGAGTGTTTAATTTTGCCAACACTCTCCATTGACCATCATTAGACGGGTATACATCTTTTCTTTGGAAAATACTTTGTACTGATTTCAAGAATTATTTTCAAACAATGTTCCACCCAAACAAAAGAGGTGTGGAGATTTTGAGGAGACTTACATGTATTTCTATAGAAAAACAACTTAGGGGTAGGTTAACTTTTGAGCATGCTCAGTTTAAGACCTCAGTCCTGAGGATGCTAAGCTTCAGGTTACAGATCAAGAAGGAAAGTCAGAAGATAGGTTTTATTTATTTATTTATTTATTTATTTATTTATTTATTTATTTATATTTATGATCAGCCAAGATCACAGAGCACATACTCAGGTCACAGTAGAGGACAGGAGCCTCTCAGATACGCTCAGATTTTTCCAAAATGTTTTTGCTGCAACAAAAGCTAAAGATACTTTGAGGGTATAATACTACAGCAACTTGCCCTTTCGGATTAATTGTCTCTAAGCCATTGTCCAGTGCGATGCTTTACTTTCCATTCTTAGAGTACTAAGAATAAGGCCACTCTTCTAAAGATGCTCATGGCTAGATGAGGCTGATGTGTCATCCTAGTTAGGATAGTGACACTCTCTTAATGCCAGTAAGAGACAGGCTTCAAGATCAGGAAGAAGAGCCAATGACACCATAGTTTGAGTTTCTCTTGTAATCATTTTATAACACTTTAAAAACACATATAATTATGATCTAAACCACAAATAAATAAGTAAAATTAACCTCTCTAGTTTAAGTTGCCCAGAAAGTATGAACTTAATGTTCTGGGGGAATGCATGCCAAGCTACAATTAAGCAAACATGCTAATTGGATACCAGAGAAGGGTTACCTTAGTATTGTATCTAATAGTTAAGTTGTATTTCATTTTAAGTCTGGTAAACAATGGGCAGCACACAGTAAGACTTTAGAATACTAAAGCTAATTGAATGAACAGATCAATAGGAAAACACCAATAAAAATCATTTACTGCTCGACTCTGCTGACTATTAATTTTGTTATCATTTTCCCCCCTTGCTGTTCGTTTTTTAAAGTGGGATCTCCAGGACACTGGTCGTCTTGGGACTTGCTATTAACAACAGGCTGGACTCGAACTTACAAAGTTTGATCTGTCACTGTTTTCCAAATGCTCGGATTAAAGGATTATGTAAAAGTAGCTTTTATTCACCAGATATAATTGTCTTCTCAGAAACTTACTGCTAAATAAACTTACCCTTTCTAGTTCTTTCTGAACTCTGGCTGGCTGCTTCAACTCAGCTGTTTTCGGTCAAATTCTTCTTCTCCAAGCTGACTGATTGAAATCAGCTTTGCTCAGCTTTTGACTGGATTGCTCTGCTTGGCCTCAAACTAACTGTGGCAATTTTTTCTAATCTTCAGATTCATTCTTATTGTTCGGCTTGTTCTGTCATTACCTGCAACCTGCTTTGTAAAGCTGCCTCCTTCCCCCCACCTCCACCCCAGTCTCTCTCCCTCTTCTAAAGTTGCCTCTTTCCTGTCTATTCTTGGGATAGTTGGGCATATCCTATCTCTGACTCATTCTGTCAAATATTTCTCTGGTTCATCATTTTGTCTGCCCTACAGTTAGATGCCACTTTCAAAGACATATGTTTTCTTCTACAAATTATTTTCATTGTTTGGGGTTAAAGGTGTATTCTAAGGGCATGTCTATATTCCAGCCATATACTGTAATGCAGGGCACGTCTGTATTCCACTGGGATCACATAGACCTAGAAGGTCTTTGGATATGATCCCTTGCCAGAGCAGCCAAGTTGCTGGATTAAATTTACTCTGTAAGGGCATATCATTATGCATGGCTACAACTTTTGTTATCCTTAGGATGAGCCCTGGTTCTAGTTCACAGGAGCAAGCATTTGTGAACTCACTCAATTCTTCTGACTCTTGTTCTTTATTTATGTTGGTATAATGAGTTCAGGGACTCATAACCTTGATTCACATTCACAGGATAGAAATATATTCCAATGTCAAAAATATAAAACTGTTGTTAACTAGGATAGATAGTTCTTCCAATTTCTCAGGAAGCTTTGTATGGTTAGGCATCCTTGGCTAACCTGTGCTTCAACATGAAGACTCCTTTGAATCTGTCAGACTTCTAGGGTCAGCCTGAGGTTTGAGGTCTTGTGACTGAGATGAAACTTCTGTCCACAGCCCATGAGGGTCTTGCTATGACTTTTTAAATCTGCCCCTTCTTTACATGCGTTGAGTTCTATGAGCTGACTCAAGGATCAGTACCATTCATCAACAGAGAGAAATGTTTAGACAAAAGGTTCAAAGCAGCTAGTAGATTATCAGAAGCCACAGTGGCAGTATGTGACCAAGGAGTCAGGCCTGAAGAACTTATTTCTTTTTCTAGCTCTGAACCTCTTTCTACCAGTTCAGGAAATGAGCCCAAGGGGTCGATTTTCTTCATTGCCCCCCTCTTTCAGGAATCAAATAAAAGAAATCCCACAAGCCTTCAAGAGTAAGTTCAAATCTGGGTTACAGATTTGTGACCAAGTGCAATGTACTTACAGTTGGATGAATTAAAAACTCAGAGTAAGGGTGGCTAAGAAAAAAAGAAAAGACTAGAGACATTTCATTTAAAGTATTATTAAAACAATGGCATATGGCACTTGTTCTAAAGGAGTAGAGAAAGGTTTATGAACTTGTAGGAGGTCTAAGAAAGCCTGAAAATTATTTCCAAGACAATACTCTCCTCACCTGTTTCTTTAGTTAATAGAAACAAGCATGGGAAGTTGAGAGAAGCTGATAGTGTAAAGATTAAGCTGTTTTTGACTTTACTACATTAGTGGGCCCTCTAATCTGGTTTGTTGACTCACCACGTGCCTTTGTGCCTTGTAGACTCTCACCTGGATGTTAGTAAGCTGTAGGTATATGAAAACTTAATCGTCAAATGACAGGAAATCTGAGGTTATTACATCACTTTTAGAAATGACAGCCATGATTATTCCTGGGTCAGATTTGAGTCTTGTCTTTAAGGTTTTAGGAATGTAGATTTTTAAGATGATGCTTTAAATGAGGTATCTGCTGTATTTTATCTTATATGTTTTGCATAGTCCTGATATTTGAGCACTGGCTGGATACTCAACATCAGCCAACATCTTTGCCTACCTTGGTATTTTTGTTTTGGAAATGTACATGACAGGAATGCATATGGTATGTGGATTGTTAAGGAAGATACCATACAACTTGTATGTTTCATATAGAGAAATCAAGCAAACACTAAGTTGGCAGTGTTCTTTGTGCTGGTAAGTTCCATAGTGGTGAAAAAAGCTATGTAGGATGTTAGAGCAGGAGTGTTGGGTAAAAGCACCAACAGTCTTACCTTGTTGTGAACTTTATGAAGTATAATATTAAGCTTCCAGTAAGGATGTGTCCAATGGTGCAGTGGTGGCATGGGTCCTCTGGTTGTTACCAACCATTCTCTGATTGGATTTAAGGACTATGCTAAACAACCAAACAAACAAACAAACAAACACAAACACATAAGCAAACACTTAGTATTGTAAACCTCATACAAACCCATGACTGAAGAGGCCTTTAATTTTAGGGGGAATCTAAGACTGCCATTCAGCTAAATTGATATACCACAAAACCTTCTGACCATTTATGCTTATACTACAGAGTAAGGCTATGTCGAAAACCTTTCCCTGGCAGTGAACTGAGGTAAATGCATAGCACCATAGACGCACAAGATTCTGAGAATTATGAATGACTGAGGGCTCAGATACAAAGAGAAATAAGATTTCGTTATGTCATGACAGAAAATATTGATTTAAATTTGTATAAAACAGCAAATCTTATGGAAGAGATCATGGAATATTTTGGTGGATGTAGGAGGCTACTTGAGTTTGGAACTCAAAATTCCTGGGACTGACTTTATTCATACTTTTTCTAAAGCCAATGTTATGGTTTTAATATAACATTCCCCCATACTTCCATTAAACTAGAAGTAAACATTTTTGTTGTTAAGTTATATCTTTCTTAAATATTGGTCATATCAATACACTTACCAAGAAATATTAAAACTCTTTTGGTAATAAGACATTACATAGACTTTAGTTTTTGCTTGTTCATGAGTTTGAGCTGCTGGCAGTTGCTTGGCACTGCAAC